TTTTTTCTTGGTATAGTTAGCATTGCAAAAACAGAACCCCTCATAGCTACTTATTCTGCAAAACCATACAACCTGTGTTTTCAGTCATGTTTTAGAGCTAGCTTTTCACCAGCAGTATTTTATATCAAAATGAGCCTCATCAGCCTTGATCAGAGAGAATTAGCTTTCTCATTTCTTGCCCATGTTTTAAGCGATTTCTATAAATCTGCCCCATTCTGGAAAATACTGTAGCCATATTTTTCTACTGAAGTTGATGCTTTACATTTACAAAATAACTTTATTGAGCTTCCTCTGCTGCATTTATTTGATCAATTCAACCTTGGTAAATTGTTGGTGCCTTATATCTTAAGGTGGAGGGTGGGAAATATATTCCAGGAGCTATTCATTGGTCTGTATGAACCCCACAATATTCTCTTCCTAACAAACACAAATTAGTTAGGACATTTTTGTTAGCATTCAAATTAGAGTAAGAGGAAACAATAAGGGCTGAGATTAATTATTGCTAGGGAGGAAAGCTCTTTTTGAACCTCCACTTTATTTTCTGTTAATTCTTCAAATTCACTGACAATCAACATATCCACAATTTGTTCAACCCAATTTTCTGGATTTGTGTAATATTGAATATATTTGGATAATGGGCTAGGCATAAACTGGCTAGGCAGTCTATTTAGTCAGTATGTCAAATCAATCCAGGCTTAATCTGTTCTTCCTGCAATTACACGAATTTCTTCCACTTTTCATTCAACCTAATGCCTATGCTTATTCACCTATTATACTTATTTACCTATAGAAGAGGAGTGATATCACAGATGTCAAACTCGCGGCATCACATTGTCATCACGTGATATTTCAGTGTTTTCCCCTTCATGGAGCTGGGGTGAGCGTGGCCTGCAGGCTGCCAGTTTGACACTCCCAGTTTATATCCTCACCTTTCTTAAAACTATAGAGACGAGGGAGATGAAATTTATTGAGGATACCTCCAGTCATTATCTGCAAAGATCCATTTCTGTCTCTCTAGGCATTCACTTTGCTTCTCAATTCTTCTGAGATGTGTATTCACATGATAGTTATCCATGGTTTGCTTGATTCATCTACCTTTTAAGTTTGTGCAGCACACTGAATGGTCAGCTAGTTGATGGTTCATCATATCATATAGATACAGCAATTCTTGGGGGTGGGGTAGTTGGGTTCAGCTAATGTGATTGCTTATTTGTGATTTAGTATGGAGATTAAATTTAGCCCTCATGGTTTGAAAATCATGATTTATGGCTTAGCATATTGTATAAATTTAGCCAATTGTAGTTTCTTCCATAAACTGTTAAGCCAATTATGGCTTAGTGTATGCTGTGAAATAAAATAAAATAAATTGTGAATAAATATATCATACAAACAGAGTCATTTAAAAATAGGAGCAGCACAGTTACTGTAGTATGATAAAACTATGGCATCTTAGTACCTGTACAGTTTCTCACATATCTCTAATCTTATAATGGCTATAGATTTGCTATTTTTTATTTGAAATTTGGGAATTTGAACTAATTATAGTAGTGGATCCTTAAGAAGATGAATATAGCTAAAATGCATTTAATCCAGCGGTTACTATAGGACTGTAATTAGCCCAATTCTACACATTATCTCATACAAGAAAATGAGACAGCAAGCAACAATGGCACCTGTTAAAAATAGTTCCCTTTTTTTCCTTGCTCACTCCCTGTGGATCATCCAGCCCATTCATTTATCCTGGGTCAGTCAATAAACTAAAATTGTGGTAAGCAACTGATAAGCAGTTGAATGACCAGTAAGTATCAAAAAATAATACGGAACTTACAAAACTTCAGGAGCTTTTGGTGTCTTAACAGATGTTTCAGGATACTTTTTTCATACTAACAAAAAAAAACAGATAACCACATAAAACTCAGCCTGTTTATAAATTGATGAGAACAGTTCCACTATTAAAGCCATATTTGACTATCTTAAAAGAGACTGTGAATATATGGGTTTTCTATTATGGCAATATTTTCTTATAGATTTTACAGATTATACAGATTTTACAATCAAAAATAAATGCTTAAAAAAATCCCCAACTTGGTTAATAGAGGAAAACCTTTTAAACTGGTTAAAGGAATTCTCTCTAATTCATTAAAGTGGCAATTTAATGCATACATGTTTGTGTGTAAGATCTAATATATTTGGTGCGACTCTCCCTTCAATCCAGTGAGGTTTACGGCTGGTGAGGCACTGACACAGGGGTTTCAAATTTTTTTAGACTTGTGGACTTTAACTCCCAGAATTCCACAGCCAGGCATGCTCAGTTCCGATT